AAAATAGCCATTGCAACATTTGCCGCAAAATCACATTCATAAAAGATAATTCCATTTCTCTCTCTTTATTTCTCTTTATTTATTGTAATGTGAAAAATTTGTCATATGAAATTACGTCATAACATTTTGCATCGGCATGTAACCTCTGATAATTGGGTAAAGATTCATTTAATACATATACAATTTCAGAAAAAATCATTAATAGTTGTTAATAGTTTCCCAAAGGCGAGCTCTCCAACACAGTAGTGTTGGAACCAGCAGCTTGTTTTTACTTTGCAGAGATAAAATGTAGATTTTTTTTCCAAACTGAGTATTTGCATGTTACTGATTGAGCTAAAAACCATATTCTCACATTGAGACAAACCTTGACCAAAAAACAATTCTACAAGTCTACGAGTTTTCCAAAAACAGATACGCTAGCCACGCTATACATCATGTAATCTCTACTCTTCAACAAAATATGCGTTGAATATTCATACGTATTCAATGGCTGAGAGATGTGTTTGAAAAAAATGAGAAAGGTGAAAAGAAAGTGTTACAGATATTTGTTATTTTTAGATATTGTGAATTGTTTTACGGATTTCCCTTGGACCGATCATTATTCCTAAAAAGTTTACGTTAAATTCTCATTGTTTTCAACGAACCTTCAGAATTCGATACCATTCTTACTAGGTTGAAAGAGCAAGCGACGTTCTTGAAAAATTGACGATAAAAAGTGGCATCTCATAAATGAGAACTGGATAAAATAGGAGAATAAACAAATCACAGATTAAGGAAATGAGAACCTTGCATTATAAGAATTAGAATAGAACTAGATAAATATAAGGTGAGACTCACGATTTCGAATTCTCAAGGCTTACATTTTGTATAAAACCTAGAGCACCTGGATTTAAAGTCAATGAATAGTTTCACTTGCTTTGAAACAGTTCTTCACACACATTCTATAAAAGTGAATATTTTGTGGTTGACGTTTCCGCTTGTTTTCAATTGTTTCCTAGCAGATTGGACCCCTCAGAATCCTCAGCAGGAAATAACGTAAAAGTAAGTAAGTCTCTGGATATAATTTTTTCCTCATGACTAAGCAACTTATGAACATTGAACACTCTAAAATTATTAAATTTTTAAAATCTGTGTTACGAATGTATTAAAGCTATACTCTAAAAAAGTAAGTACGTAAATTTCAGTACCATTGCATGTGCCTCACTAAATAGGACTTTTATAACCCAAATTAGCAAACCCGAATTCGTATCCATTCGAGGGTCATTATGAATTTTAACATCATTTTAGGACTTGCTGCCAGTTGATAACAGGAAATCATATAAAAACAAGACGAGGAAAACTGATTGCAAGCGATATGATCTACCTATCATTACAAATTAAATTCAACGAACATTTGAAATTAGCAAAAAGCGCGAAATGCTGGAGGATTGTCTACCTAAATCCCTTTAAACTGCATTGTACAACCGCTGAAATGTCTTGTCAAAATATTCTGCGGGACTCGTCCAGGTGGCAGGGAAGGGCTCAAAGCGGGGACTTTCTGCTCTGAGACATACTGCCACAGAACAGACCGATTGGGTATTCAAAATTAAGATTTATGATATGGCAATGTGCATAGGATGGAAAAAATTGCCGAAGACGGTCCTAAAATTTGTTACTCCTGGGAGAAGACAAGTGCCTCCAATTCTGCCATGCCAAGGAAAAACGCCCTATGAATCTTCAGGCGTTGCCAAATTTCAATTTATAAAACACGTATTTCCTGGTAAACTTATGTATTATTGTCTTCTAATTTTTCAAAAATTGTTGTTTGCAATTTCACGTAAGGCTCCTGAAAATTTCAAAGAAAAATATTCACAACTTTCCTTAAAAATAGGCTTTTTATCGAAGGAAATTTGGCAACTCTCAAATTTTCATACGGTGTTCTTCTTTAGAGCCCGACAGAATTAGAGGGTGCCTAACTAGAGGAAAAAGAGCGCGGTGCAGTGAAAGTTACAAAAATTCGCTTTCTTCCACAAAAAATAATTATTTTAATCTTTAATTATCTAAAAAAAAGGACTTCAGTCCACAAAAACTGAAAATTAAGTTATTGATACCAGGGAATATCGACGGTGAAACTGCAGAAATGCGTATCTCGGTTTACGGCGTTGCAGACTTCCTGTCATACTTTATTTTCAACATGGAAAACTACTGAACGTAATTTTTGGAAAATTTCAGTGAATTTTCCTCTCTTTGTAAAAATACTCAGTGAAAATTTCCAGTCATAATACGTCAATGTTATTTCGGTCTCCTTTTAAAAAATAAAATAGTAGCGGATCCCTGGTAAAAATTGGCAGTAGAATGTGTGCTCCAAAATACTATAGACCTTAAGCCGGCTGTAAGATTTCCAATAGCTTTTGTAGCCGGCTATACAATTTCTTATAGCCTTTCATAGCCGATGGCGATTAAGGGCAGAGAGCGCGAAACGCGCATTGGCGCCTACAAACCTAACAGGGATACTTCACGCATTGCGCAATGCGTGAAGTATCCCTGTTAGGTTTGTAGGCGTCAATGCGCGTTTGCGTAATGCGTGAAGTATCCCTGTTAGGTTTGTAGGCGCCAGTGCGTCGCCGCTCCGTTTGTGTGAGGCTCTAATATTTAATTTGGCGGAGTCAGCGTTTTTCAACTCATGATTTTGAAATGTTTGCACACTCTGTATGGATTATTCTCATTTTAATTGATGAAAAAAAATATGTTTTAAAGGAAAATATAATGTTGTTTTGTAAATATTAAGGTAGTTCCGTATCAAACTTAATGATTTCCAAAGCACACGAATTTCTACACAATATCCTATAGCCTTTTATAGCCAATGACGATAAAGTGTAAAGCCCGGCGATAGGAACTATAGCCCGACTGTATACTTATTTATAGCTTCCCATAGCCCGGCTGTATGATTTGCTCCGCTTTCTATAGCCAGCTATATGATTTTCAGTAGCCTTCTTTAGTCGGCTATAAGAACTCCTAAGGTATTTTGAAACGCAGCTCCTATCGCCAATTTTTACCAGGGATATTTCGAAGCACCGCAACCGAGATACGCACTTTTGCATTTTCACCGTTGATAAAGAGTCTTTCACAGAAACCATGAGACGCAAACGTCTAAAAATATCCAACCCAACAAAACAGTACATCAAAATGACAGTATTGGCATCAAAATGAGCAAAACCACCTTCCTTTCCGCCTTCCGGGAGGAACCCAACCGAAAACCTGCTTGGGCAACCGATCGTCTGCCATCCTTCGCACTTGTCCAATGTCCATACTAGACCAACTGCTTGGACCTGATCTCGCGCGTACGAATTAAAATACATACAAAAAATATTCATACCTGAGTCTTCTAGGTTACTTTGGGATGTATACAGGGTGATCTAAAAGTCCCTTCCACCCCCTCTAACTTTTCACCTAATTGAGGTAAAGATTTGAAACTTTGGGGATATTCCTAGGTCAAAAGGAGGTACTTTTTGGCCCCCCTAAAATTTTCAGGGGGGCCCCTTGGGGGGCAACGGCCCCCAACTTTAAATTTTCAAATGGGAAGACCCCCTTTGTGATAGCTCGTTTGAAAGAGCATAAAAAAGAAAACTTTTCGCGCAAACCCGAAGTCAATATCTCAAACCGTTTCAAAATGGCGGCCGGTTAAAGTTCAAAATGGCCGAAAATTCAAACCGGTTATTTGTCAATGGATTTGCGTGGACATTGGTGTGTAGGGGTATTTTGACACGAGAAAAACGAATTTGACGTTAGATTTTCAAAAAAAACCGAAATTTCCAAAATGGCCGCCGGTTAAAGTTTAAAATGGCCGAAAATTGTCACCTCGGTTTTTTCTTGATGGATTTGCCTAAAACTTGGAATTTGAGAGTATTTTGGCATAATATAAACAAATTTGAACTTAGATTTCTAAAAAAAATCAATTTTGGTCATTTTGAACTTTAACCGGCGGCCATTTTGGAAATTTCGGTTTTTTTTAAAATCTAACGTCAAATTCGTTTTTCTCGTGTCAAAATACCCCTACACACCGATTTCCACGCAAATCCATCGACAAATAACCGGTTTGAATTTTCGGCCATTTTGAACTTTAACCGGCCGCCATTTTGAAACGGTTTGAGATATTGACTTCGGGTTTGCGCGAAAAGTTTTTTTCTTTATGCTCTTTCGAACGAGCTATCACAAAGGGGGTCTTCCCATTTGAAAATTATAAGTTGGGGGCCGTTGCCCCCCCAGTGGGGCCCCCCTGAAAATTTTAGGGGGGCCAAAAAGTAGCTCCCTTTGACCTAGGAATATCCCCCAAGTTTCAAATCTTTACCTCAATTAGGTACAAAGTTAGAGGGGGTGGAAGGGACTTTTGGATCACCCTGTACAAGTGGCTTAATGAGCTAAATTATTTTAATTATTTTTCAGGCGGACGCAATCATGAAAATCTCTGTTGTTTTATGCATCATGGCATCCAGCCTAGTTCTTTGCAATGTTACACCAAATCTTGGAGGATCTGCGGTACTTGGGGTTCTTGGAGGTGGGATTTCTGGCGGGACTGGTTTAGGAGGGATTACTGGGGCTGGGGCTGGGACTGGGGCTGGGGCTGGGGCAAGCAATTTGGTGGCAAACGTCAAACCTAGCGGCGTCGTCAGTGCCCAAGGATCAAGTGCCTCTCAATCCACAGGAACGGCGGTACAAGGCAATTAATATACAACAAATATGATACCCTAGTTGAGTAAACTGCCGTAAAACACGGTCATAGCTAGAATTGATAAAAATCACAACACTCATCCCCCTCTCTTCATAAAATGATAGCGTGCTGAAACCGCTGATATTCTATCCTGCTTACTTGATGGTAAATATTTAAGGAACACTGACACAAAATCAGACTCCTTAGAATGCAACAAAACCCTAATAATACGTACGAAAATTTAAAAATGTCGGTGTTAATGATTACCTCAAGTTACTTATCACTTCAATTCAACGTGCTTTTTTCGGTAAGATCAATTTAAAGGACTTAGTTTTTGTGTTCAGAATTTTGGGGAGATCAAGAAAGAAAAAAAGAGAGGATAAAAAAAAGATCAACCGAACTATGGATTACTTTGAGACATCTATAAATGTAAAGAGTGTCTTGCTGAACTAATGTATTCTGATTTATTTCCAAGTCATTGAGGTTGCGACTTGCGAGTTGCTAGCGCATGGAATCATCACCGATGTGACCCAGCTCAATCCTGGTGGTTTGCGCCTGATTTTAACGAGGTTGTAAATTTGCAACTCAAGATTTGGTCAGTGTAACCCGAGATAAAAGTAACCAAGAAATATTAACCGCACGTTAAGGTTACTTTAACTTCTACCTTCCATATATTAACACAAAGTGTCGGTTACTTTTTTTTATGGTGAGTCATTCTGTATTTTTATGCTTTAATATCAAATTTCATTCGAAAGTAACAGAATGCATTCTCTGACAGATATTGTCTTTGATTCTTGAGCACCGGCTATATTTGAAGTTTAAATGATTCTACAGCCAAGTGAGTATAAAGTTATGGAACACATGCATTTATTTTTTAAATGGAATACATTTGTTTCCATCATTCAGCATGATTTAAGAGGGTGAGATGATGTGCTGTATAAAAGTACTTCTCCTAAAAGCTGGAAATGTCCATCATTCAACTTATCCTTGCACTCTGGGGCAAACTTTGTAACTATTTATCACACAATAGATTTAAACGCACAGTTATTATTGTAAGTCGCACACAGTAAGAAAAATGTCGATTTATATTGATGATTAATTTATTGCATATTAATTATAAAAATATATTTTTCAGTTATTTATCAAAAACAAGTCTTTAATTTTGATTATCCTTGTAATATGATTTACACCTATCCAATGTTGGTATCCTATTATCCTATTGGATATCCTATGCTTCTCACGCGTTTTGTGAAGGTGGGATCAATTTCAAAAAAGTGCAAAAATCTTTTCCCAGAAAAAGGTTGCTATTTTATACTTCGCAAAATTTTTGAGAATGTTGAAAATTACACGTAGCGTGGCTCCATATTTCTGAATTTTACATGGTTGAAAATGGGAATATTTCAGAGCAAAGGCTTGTACATATAGGTTGTATAATTGCATCCAGATGTTATCATCAAAGTCGCTCCAATATAGGTCAAGGTAAATTTTGTCGATGTTTAACGATCGAACAATTTCTAAGAGTATTTTGGATAATTATTCACAACTTTATGGGAGTCTTACTCATCTGATCGGGAACTAGCGGGTCATTTTTCTCAAAACTAAATTTTTCAAGTTGTTATGCTTTCTCCAGTGAAACGACACACTGGGAAAAAAACACATTGGATCTGGATTCCAGACTCTTAAAAACATCGACAAGAAAAAATACTCTTGATTCAACCGGATTTAAGCTTAAATCAAGAACCAAGCCTCTTAATTTGAGCGGATTTCCTTTCGATGTAAGCTTAAATCTGATTGAATCAAGAGTATTTTTTCTTGTCAATGTTTTCAAGAGTCTGGACTCTAGATCCAATATGTTTTTTTTTTTTTTCCAGTACACCTTAAATTGTCGCTCCTCTGAAGTAAGGGCGTATCTCAATTTCCACTTGAGCCCTAATTCACAAATGCTTTCTGGGGCTTTTTTCATAATGCCCATGCTTTCTGGGGCTCATGTGAAAATTGGACGTATTTCTGCTAAAAGGAACTATATTACACGTAACTCCTATGCACATAGTTCCTTTTAGCATAAGTACGTCCAATTAAGATACGCCCTTATGTTAGAGGAGCGACGAAATGTTGTCAAAATCTCGATAAAATAATCGACCCGGCAACGGTGGGCGGTCGCGACGGCGCCCGAAACCGACGCTTAATCAACTTGCAAAGATGGATACTGCACTTACGGGCGAGTGACGGTCGTTTAGCCGAAACCACAAACGGCGGGAGACGCCGCGACGCCCCTGCCGAGCTCCCCCGGAAAGGCTCCCCGGTGCCCCCCGGAGCCCCCCGAAACCGGGGGTTTTCTCGCCGGACGCGGCAGCCCCGGCGCCTACGACTTGATCGACTTCCGGTCACCCTCCGACACCTCATTACCCCCCCCCCCCCCCNTACACCTGCAGTGTGCATCGTCGCTCGCTGCGGATACGGAGGATGGCCCGAGCGATCAAGTTCCCATCAAAGCGAGTGAGAATGCGATGGTTATGAGCTCGGCAGAATGGTGTGCAGTCTGTCATCATCGATTGTATCGGCACTACAGTTCCTTCTCAGGGACCGTCCCACAATGGATCGAGTCAATGGGAGAGGTGGGACAAAATTTGGAAACTTTAAACGCCTGTAACTCCGTCTATTCTCAACGTGGAGGTTGTAAGAGTGGTTCCATTGGTTATTTCGTGAAATTTTCTTCAAGAAGCTCCCCTCGAGGTTTGAAATTTGACAAGATAAACATCAAAATTTCTCGGTAATTTTACTGTACCTTGGTAAAAACGCCAATATTTTTTATCGACTGTGGTAAAATTACCGAGATAAAATGGCAAAGTTACCGGGAATTGATTACCAATAAAAGTGGTATTCTTACCTGAAAAAACAGTAAAAATACCGGTTTTTAGGTAAGCTAAACCAGTCTGTCTTGGTAAAATTACCAATAATTGGTAAAAAAAAGTGAGATGGTAAAGGCACCAACGGACCTTGGTAAAAACGCCGAGAATTTTTTTTCAGTGCGCCAATGGTTCCTTCGCCAGAAAAACAACGACTTGCCTGGCGTGGGCGCGTCTCTCTAATCCCATCAAAAGCAAAAAGAACACCCTAAAAACTTAAGTCTATTATCGCGAACCATTTTATTCAATCTCCAAAAGCGTTTTCTTGCCTCGTGGAGGGAGCTCCGCGGATGTTAAATAAAAAGTTAACCCCGGGTTAATTACACTTCAGGGGCGCGGCGCTCACTCGCTCACGTGCCATAAAATCCCTCCGTGCCGGAAACTTCCGAAATTTGATCAAGAAAAATTTCACCCAACTTCGATCCACCCCTTAATGGAGCTAATCTCGCACCGGGTTCGCGCTTTATCCAACTTTCCGATAAGTGCTGCATTCGTTTCCTCTCGGTCGATCAATCGAAGTGATGTGACGTCAGCGCGATGCTCTCAACTCCAGCAGCACCTCTCTCCTTGATGGCGAAGTCCATCCCTTCGCCATTTTTCACCCTTTATTGGTCTGTAAAATTCCAAGGTCATAAATCTACCCCCGAGCCGAGAAAACCATAAGCAGCGCGCTAATATCCTCCCCGGCACTGAGATCGAATAAAAAGTTATCCCGGCACTTCGACAGTGCTGCCAGATTTTTCGCTAAATACCGATCACACCATAGTGCACGAAAATTTAAAAATGAAAATTTGGCAACTTTGAACAAACACTGTTACCAACTGGTTCAAAAAATTGGACCATAAAAGATAGAAAAGGTACACTAGAAAAAAAAAAAAACATTGGATCTAGAGTCCAGACTCTTGAAAACATTGAAAAGAAAAAATACTCTTGATTCAATCGGATTTTTGCTTGAATCAAAACGAAATCCGCTTAAATTAAGAGGCTTGGTTTTTGATTTAATCTAGATTCTGATTGAATCAGGAGTACTTTTTCTTGTCGATGTTTTTAAGAGTCTGAACTCTAGATCCAATGTGTTTTTTTTTTTTTTTTTTTTTTTTTTTTTTTTCCAGTGTACATGGGCACTTTTTTTAAGAAACTGGGCTGGTAGCACCCATTATAATTCTTTTCAGGATGCATCCAAAAAAATGTGAATGAAGTGGCTAAAAATAAATTGTAGGGGGCTAGAGAAAAATTTATTCACCAAAATTATGAACTACAGTTGAAATAAAAGGGATTCACTGTAGGATCTGCATTGATCATTTTGTAAATTGCCTCCTTCCTTATTGAATGTTTCCTTCGAGCTAATCTTTTAAGTTAGAGTATAGTGTTAGAATAAAGAGACCAAAATCATCGATTATCTGATTTATAATGACAAAGAAAAATAGGGATCGAGAGGCCATTACTCTCTTTCGTAAAACCGTAATAAATTGTCTTCGAAATGTTCAGTTCTAATCGCACTCTGATCTAAAAGATTCATCAAAGTCAAACAAAAGATGTAGTTTTTTGTGGTTCTCTGGGAGTTTGAAAAAATCATTTTTAAACTTGAGGTAATCAGTTTTACAAAAAAAGAAAACACTAATGAAAATTTGCAAAATTACGCCACAGAGAAAAGATTAAATTTTTAACCCCGCCCCCCCCCAAAAATGTTACGTATTCGTAACGATATGCCATAGAGGGTTAAAATCTCGTCCAGGAGTTGATTTTCGACCATCCCGCTGTAGGAATCGATTTGTAAAATGAATCTGCGTAAAATGTTTAAGGGAAAACAGTGACATTCTTTTTTTAATAAGCACTGGAAAAAACACATTAGATCTAGAATCCAGACTCTTAAAAACATGGACAAGAAAAAGTACTCTTGATTCAATCAGAATCTAGCTTAAATCAAGAACCAAGCCTCTTAATTTAAGCGGATTTTGTTTTGATTCAAGCAAAAATCCGATTGAATCAAGAGTATTTTTTCTTGTCAATGTTTTCAAGAGTCTCGACTGTAGATCCAATGTGTTTTTTTTCCAGTGAGCGTGGTCTATTGTGTCTTTCACCTGCGTCGAAAACGAAGCTTACGTTTTTCCGAAGGTGCGGCAACTTGCGGAAGACGCGTTGGAAAAGCTTGGAGCAGCATTCCGGGAAATAGCCGGCGGCCGTAAAAAGGGGCTTAAAAAGAGCAAAAGTGCGAGGGGCTGGAGGAATTCTTTTCTCGCGCCAACAGGCGGGAATCCGCAGGGCGAGGCCATAAAACGGAAACTTTCTCCATTATATCACGTTAGTTAAACGCACTTACAAAGAAATGCTTCCTTAAAATACGAATTAGAAACAAGGACGCGTCTAACTTCTT